CGTGGGCCTGGGCCCCGGGCTCCGGGCGGCGGCGGCGGGGGGCGCCCGGCAGGGCCCCGGGCGGCGGAGAGGGCGGGCGCCGGTTACCTGCGGTCCCGGACGAAGAGTCTCTCGGAGTCCCAGTCAGCCCTCAGCCCCGACAACACAAGATGGCCGCCACGTCGCCGCGCGCCGGCACGTGACGTGACGCGGCGCAACGCGACGCGATGCAAAGCGACGGGACGGGAGCGGACGCACCGCCCCCTCCCCTCTTGCCTTCAGTGGCAAAGCGCGCATGCCCCGCAGCGAGGCGGGGGTGGGGCGACGCAGGCGCACTGGCGCCCCAGCCACCGAGGTGGCCATCTTGGTAGTTCCATGACCGCTCTCGAGACCGGTGACTCACGCTCCGGGGAGCCAATCCGAATTCAGCAACCCATTCCCGGAGCCGCGCTTTATTCTGGGGCTGAAGCTGCGAGCAGCTGCGGGCCGGCTGTTTAACAGAGGAGGAAACTGAGGCATGGGAAAGCAAAAGCCATCCGGTCCAACCCCCTTCGTTTTACAGACGAGAAAACTGAGGCACAGAGAAATCAAGTGTTGCCCAAGGTCACTTAGGTAGTAAGCTAAAGTTTTAAATCCAGGCTCCCGGACTCCAGAGTCTCTATCCTGCCCCACCCCCACAATCCCTTTGTTGACTAATTTATTAATTATAAAATTTTTAACTAATTAGAAAATCGCATCCTTTAAAGCTAGGTGGAAGTGAGAGCTGAACTCAGGTTATCAATGGAGAAACTGAGGCTAAGAGTGTCACATGATAAGTGACTTGTCATGAGTCACAGCAGAGGGACACCAGGAACCCAGACATCTGCTGACTCAACCTTCTGGTGCGCTTTCCAATTCCCTGCCACTAGGGGAGCCTGGCAGTTAGGGAAGACACTTGCTAGCTGTGTGATCCTGGGCAAGTCACTTCCCCGTTTGCCTAAGAAGGAAATAGCGAACCAGTCCAGCATCCTTGCCAAGAAAACCCCAAATGGGTTACCAAGGGTCCCGATGGACTAAACAATAACAACAAGAGGGGCCTGGTAACTCAGTGCCCCTCGGTCCCAACGGAGATCCTGTTCACCAATTACTCTGCCAATCAAGCATTTATTGAGCACCTACTGTGGGCGAGCTAGCTGACGAGCATTTATTTACTCCCTCTCGTGTGCCAGGCACCACGCTGGGTGCTAGGGGTATGAATAAGAAGAACAAAACAGGCCTGCGCTCAAGAACATTGAGTTCCCTTTGGGAGACACGTAGCAAACAGGTACAAAGTAATTCTGGTGGGGAAGCTGGAGATCGCGAAAGGCTTCACGCAGGAGAGTTTGGAAGGCGAGGAGGCACTTGAAGGCTTGCTGCCTTTGACTGGCAGTTCAAACTCACGTTATTCAGGGGCAAACTTTATGGCCTGGGAACTTCCCAGGTTCTTCTTTGTTGCTCACTTTATCACCTTTCCTTTTAAAAAGTGTTAATGCTTCATTGATGCCTTTTTTTTACATCACATACCTCACAGATACTACCCTCACCTCCACCCCACCTTCACCCCCCCGTGAGCCTTAGTTTTCTCAAATTTTATTTTTAACACATGGAATAAAACAAGCATTTCCATAACATAGTGCAATAAAAAGGAGGATTACATATGAAACTGTACATCTACTACGCACGATTTGCTATTCCTTTCAAATATATAACAACATTATCAGGTAAATTTTTTTCTTCCCTCCCCCCAGATAGCTACCATTAAATATATATACATATATATATATATATATACACACACACACATATATGTATGTATATTATATATACTTATATATGTATATAAGTGTATCTCATATATATAGTATATATAGAATATAAATTAAGTATATATGTAGATATAAGTATCTACATATATACTTAATATATATGCTATATATCTATGTCTATATATTCTATTATCTATATATTAATATATATCTTGTATATTCTATACATACTATATACACCCTATACCTACATAAATGTATATAAATATATACCTATATACATAGGTATTTTATGTATGTAGGTATATATATAGAATATAGATAGATATATTAATATATAGATAATAGAATATATAAATCTATACCTACATAAATATAGGCATTTTATGTGTGTAGGTATAGGTGTATATAGTATGTGTGTATATACATATATAGTGTGTATATATGTATGTATGTAATATCATTCTATACATCTATTTCTCAGTTCTTTCTCTGGATGCAAATAGTGTCTTTCTTCATAACGTCCTTTATAGTTAATTTGAGTATTTATAATAGTCAAAAAAGTTGCCAAAAGTTGTTCTTAAAACAATATTGCTATTACCATATACAATGGTCCCCTGGTTCTGCTCTTTTCCCTCCTCATTATTTCATGCAATTCTTTCCATGTTTTTCTAAAATCATTGAACTCAGCGTTTCTTATAATTGTATAAAAAAGAAAAAAATAGTTCCACAAAACCAACCTGCAAAGCCTGTGTGTGGGCGTGTATGCACCATTCTGCATCTGTAGTCCCCTTTGCCTCCAAAGCAAGGTGGGGATCTGATTTGGTCCTTCCCCCCCGGTGCCAGGTCCATCGAAGTGATCTTTTTGACATAGTTGTCATCACTGAGCATACAGGGCTCCTGGTTCTGCGTCCGTCACTCACTGCCTGAAGTCTTCCCTGGGTTTCCCCAAGCTCTTCACCTTTGCAGTTTCTCCTTTCTTACAATCCATCTAGTATTTAATAATCATGAGCAGCATGGTGCCTAAGCTCAGGAAGCCCCGGGCTCAAGCCCTGCTTCTCACCACAAGCCCCGACTCAGCCTCTGAGTCCTCCAGAACCCCGAGCTAAGCTGCATTGGGAGACCAGGCTTCCTCCCCAGGAGTTCCCTAGGCCAGTGAAGTCCAGGGCTCTCTCCCACCTAAAAAACAAAACCAAAAAGCACAGCAACAACATTAGCTCCTTATCTCAGGTCCATTCAGCTTTACAAAGCACTTTTCTCCCTCCTAGAGACCCTGTGCCAAAAACCACTGGGTGAAGAGAATGAAACAGGGAAGAGGCAAAGCAGAAATTCCCTCTGATCAGCAACCTGTTGTTAATAGTCATGGTAGAGCGTTCCCATTCCTGGTATCCTCTCCCTAAAAAAACCCCCAAACCTTCCATGGCTCCCTGTTTCCTATGAAATTAAATTCAAACAACTCACAGAATTATAGGATTGAGAACTTTAAAGCATCTTACAGGTCATTCAGTCCAACCCCCTCATTTTGCAGGCAAGGAAACTGGGGCCTGGAAAAGCTGAATGACTGGTCCAAGACCACACATTCAGTAAGTAGCCTAGTCACAATTTGAACCCAGGACCTTTAATTCCAAACTTTGCCCTATCTCCGCCATACTCTTTCATTTGACAGATGTATAAAACTGAATGCCCAACAAAAACCAATAATGCGATAAATATTCAAAATAAAACTGGTGATTTGTATTGTGTAAAAACCTGAGTTTTTTGTTTTGTTTTTGATGAGATTGGACCAAATGAATTAACAAAGAACAAGCAAGCTTCCATGGAGACCCACATCCCTCCCCACAGCGTCGGCGATTTGGCCCTCCTCATCATAAGCTCCTAGAGAAGTTGGACTGTTTTGCCTTTCTTTGTATTTCTGGCTATTAGAAGGGTTTGAGAAACATTTGTTGAGTGACTGCCTGACTTTATCTTACCTCTTTCCAAGGTCTTTCCAATTTCCTTTTAAAGGCGACTCAATGTTCCATAACATACTACCCTTTCTTCTGCCATTCTCTCGTGGAGAATCTTTTAACAGCACGTTAGAAAAGGACCCCCGTGTCCATCCCCTGGTACCTACGGGTCTCATTACCCTCAAAGCAGCCCTTTTTTTGGGAGCGAAGAATTGGAACCAAAGCAGGGATCCTTCAGTTGGGGAATAGCTTGTGGTGAGTGAGCCCTTGTGGTTTGTTCACTCATTTTCAGTGTTGTCCGACTCTCTGTGACCCCATTTGGGGTTTCCTTGGCGGAGATACTGAAGTAGATTTCCATTTCCTTCTCCAGCTCATTTTACGGATGAGGAAACTGAGGCAAATAGAGGTTAAATGACTTGCCCAGGGTCACACAACTAGTAAGTGTCTGAGGCCAGATTTGAACTCAGGAAGTGGAGTCTTCCTGACTCCAGGCCAGGTACTCTGTGCACTATGGCGCCACCTAGCAGCCCAGAGTGAGCACAATGGAATTAGGTCAGTCAAAATGATGACTGGAGAATTCGAGGAAACATGGGAAGACTTATATGTAATCATGTAAAAAGAAGGAAGGGAGGGAGGAAGGAAGGAGAAAGGAAGAAAGCAGGAGGAAGGAAGGAAGGAAAAGGAAGGAAGGAAGAAGGAGGAAGGAAGGAGAAAGGAAGAAAGCAGGAGGAAGGAAGGAAGGAAAAGGAAGGAAGGAAGAAGGAGGAAGGAAGAAAGGAGAGAGAAAGGAACGAAGAAGGGAGGAAGGAAGGAGGGAGAGAGAGAGGAAAAAGCATTTTTAACACTTCGACATTAACAAACTAACATTAACTACAAGCACTAGTGATACTAATCAAAAAGCAGATTGTGCCTGGCCTTAAGATCACCTTTTAGTAGGAGGAGACAAAATCCAAAGGGGAGTGGAGACCCTGGAAGGGTCTTTTGGTTTCAGCAGTTATTGGGACGGAGAGCAGAGGTAGGGCAGTGGCAGGACACACCCTTTCCAGGGCATAGCAGGATTAATAATAGTAATAATAATAGCAGCAGCAGCAGCAGCATGTATGCTCTGCCTTAAAATTTTCAGATCGTTTTACAAATCTCATCTCATTTTATCCTCACAATATTGCTAGGAGTTAGATGCTATTATTATCCCCATTTTATAGATGAGGAAACTGAGGTAAACAGCCAGTGACTTGCCTAGAGGATCTTCCTGGCTCCAGGCCAGTCACTCCATATACTGCAGGAATAAAACAAAACTGAATAGCACCACAATCATAACGCCTGAACTGGGCCTCAGAAAAGAGTGGAGAAAACTTACGGAACTTCCTGAAGCCCAGTTCGCAGAGGTGGGGGCCTTAGGGTGCTGAATGGTACACATCCTCACTTTCTTGACATTGGCCGGTTGGGAGGCTCATTCTACT